ACTCCACAGATAACTGTTGTTGTTGTTGTGTACCATCAAGTCAGAAATGAGCCCTAAATGATCCTACAGTGAGTTTCAGAAGAAGTAAATTGCACAAGAGGAGTTGCACGTCTTTCCCAAATGCATAAAAAGCAATTGAAAAGACCGTGGCTTGGATCAAAAGATAAAGATAAATAGTGAATCATCAGGATTCCTAACGGGGGTCTTAGTCAGGTGTACCTTAGTCTTTAAGCTGGCATCATTGCTCCTTAGTCCACAGGTATTGTTGTGTACCATCAAGTCGGAATTGACCCATGTTTCAGAAGCAGTAAATTGCATGGGAGGAGATTACCCATCTTTCTGCCACAGAGCAGCCACTGAATTCGAACTCCATACCTTTTCGTTGGCAGTACAGTTCCTTACCACTAAGCCACCAGAGCTCCCCAGTCTACAGCTGTATGGATTAGGATTCTGGCACATATTTTGGGGGCTACCATCCAGTCTGTAACCGTGCCCTGGGATGTCTCTTTCGGCCTTGCCTTTCTTGGAAGAAATGAGAAGAAAGGGGCTCTGCCTGAAGGAGCTGTGAGGCCTTCCCACCCAGGATAGCTCTTCCCTTGCTCTGTGCCCCAGGTCCCGACAGCCCTGGCTAACACCCTTCCGTCCTTGCTCCTCACAGCAAACAACGCCACAACAAGCTCTGGCGACAGCAGAGCGGGAGCACCCTCCAGCCTGCCGGGGGCAACCCTGCAAACCCTGGGGACTTCTTGCCAGAGGCCCTGGATGGCTCCCTGGATGCCCAGCTGCAAGGCCTGGACGATGCTGCCCACCCTGGACTCCCGAGTAGAGGGGCCTCAGGAGGGCCCACCGCCCCCTGCTATTTCCGCCGACTCTCCGACCCTCTCCTGCATTCCCCAGACGAGGACGCTGGCAGCCTGGTCCAGCTGGATGACCTGGAGAGGGATGCTCTGGTGGAGGAAGCCCCCCCGCTGGCCGAGCCGTGTATGCCCACCCTGCAGCCCGCAGAAGGTTCCAGACTCTGCGAGCAGGAAGTGAAGAAGAAACTGGACTTCGGGATCCCCAGTGCCCAGCATGGCTCCCTGGCCCCAGTGGAGGAGATGGAAAGAGAGGGGTGCCCAGCAGTGGGCAGTGCTGGAAGGGCCCCCACCCAGCTTGATAAAAATTTACTCAACCGGGAAAATATAAATAACAACAACAGCAAGCAGAGCTGCCCCGAGGACTTCGAGGTGAGCTTGGGGGCAGCACCCCCCCCACATCCCTGCCTTTTTCCCGGGTCAGCCCCTGCACAGCTTTGCCTGCCGCTCCACCCACCACACACTCCTCTCACCCCACCCTCCCACTCACCTCCACCATGCCATTCACCCCCACCCCCTAACCCTGACCCTGACCCTGACCCTCTCCCTCCAACAGAACAGAGTCTTCACATTAAGGTTGGGGTGGAGCATAGAGCTTGTCATGGCCCAGGTGGCTCCCTCCAGGCAGCCTCACCACATCTTCCAACTCAGTTTCTTTTTCTTTTTCTGTTAGGGACACTGTGAAGCATAGAACTTAATCCCTAACATCAGGCATTTATCAGTGCATGGCCCATTTTTTTCAAATTTGTTGTTGTTGTTGTTGTTGTTGTTAGCAGCACGTCACACTGTGCACTGCATCTCCAGGATTCCTTGTTTGTTTGCTGTGAAAATATACACAATAGAACACAACCATTCAACAGTTTTAACACATGTAATTCAGTGACAAAGGGTACACCTTACACACAGTCACTCCATCCCCATGTTGTGTCACCCCTGTTAATGTGGAGTCCCCCCACCGTTCTTCTCTCTGCTCTAGGAGTTCCCGTCATCAATTTTTTTCACTAGTAGTTATTGCCATTGTTCAGTGCCTTCAAATCAGACTGAAGCATAGCTGACCCTCCAGGGAATTGTCAGAGGCTGTAAATCTCAAGGGAGGAGATTGCCCATTTTTCTCTCAAGAAGCAGCTGGTGGGTTCGAACCATCTGCCTTTGAGCTGGCCGTGCAAACTCCTTACCAAGAAGCTGTCAGAACTCCTTTGATCACTTGTAGATAAGTCTGTGAAAGAGTGCAGAGCTTATGGCACACCTTTGTTAGTCATGGAGCTCTTTCAGTGTTCCACCGGAGAACAGGAGGACACTCCCCGAAGGCACCAAGGGAGTAACTCTCCCTACCCGCCCCTCCAGGGACTCTGAGAGGTACCCTCAGATCCACCATGGTGGGTAGATCTCAGTGGGTGTGCTCAGAGCCATACCACGGGGAGGTTTTAGAAGAAAAGAAACAGTCCTGTGGTTAGCACGTCAGGACAGTTGTTTGCAGGGTCAAGAACTGAGACCTTCACCCAGGGTCTGTAGGTGTCCTGACAGGACAGAGGACACAGTGGTGGACCAGAGCTGGCTCCAAGATCCTATATAAGATCTCACACTTCAGAAGACCCTACTTGTGCCCATTCTATCCCCTACCCTCTCCCCAAGACCCCACAGCCTCCTAGGGTCATGACCCAGCCTCCTCTGGGGCTGGACTGGCCCCGTCAGCCCCACAGGATGGTGAGACAGTGTTAATCCCCAATGGTCAGCTGGCCTCACCCAGCCAGTCCTTGGCAGGAGCCCCAGGCCTCTGCCAGGAGAGCTTCATTTACACCATCCTGGGAATCCTAACGGCTAAACACCTTGAGGGAGTTGGCTCCACCTTCCTTTAGCTTCCTCGCAGTCCAGGGGAGCAGTCCTGGCTCACCGGCTGGCCCGTGACGGTTGAGCTCTGCTGAGCAGCCTGTACACCAAGCAGGAGAGCAGCTGGGGGCACAGGATCCCTGGTGGCATGGCATTTCTGCTCTTGTGAGGCCTGGCAGTCAGCTTCCATGAAGATTTGCTGTCTCTGCTACCCCGTGGAGTTCTGCTCTGTCTTCTGGGGTCAGTAGCAGTGGGAATCTGCTCCAGGACCAGCTGCAGTAACCAGAGGCTGGAGGGTCTCCTGGCAAGTGGCGTGAATATGTGTTCCCCTGGGAGACCAGACCCCGGTGGCCCAACTCTCTCACTGGGGTCCATGGCACCTGTGTTTGTATTCTTTCAAACACCATTTCAGGCCTTGGCCAAGACTCTCCCATAAAAACCACGGCTCAACATCAACATTCTGGTAGACACGAAGGCTCCTTCTGTCTGGCCGCGTACTCCCCAGATTCTCCTTTCAGAGAGAGAAGATCTGAAACTCACACCCCATGCCAGGAGGTAGGGCTTGGCACCCCATGACCCAGGTGAGGCTGCACCTCAGAGCAGGTCGCCTGGAGATGGTGCAGGGCATGTTGGGAAGTGAGGCCAGGGCCGTGGGTCTCTAGTGCTTGGCTTCTGGTACATATGCACGGGTGTCCTCAGCCCGTCTCTGACTGTCATTCACAGCCAGGCAGGCTCTCAGCGGTCCCTCTTCCTGTGAAGAGAGGGTGCTTCCTCTCCAGTCTTGCTCCAGCTTGACCCAGTTGTGGTCTCACAAGCTGGAACCAACTCAGAGCTGAGCCCTCAGTGGGTTTCCATGGGCAAATCACATGGAAGGTGATTGCTCATCTTCTCCGGCCCGGAGATTGGAACCGTGTGCCGTTGGGCTGGCAGTACAACTCCATACCACTCGGCCACCGGGGTCCTCACCCAGCACCCTCTCCCTGTCTCTTTGCTCTTGGCTCCTGACCACCCTCTCTCCCTGTGCATTTGTCTCCTTTCAGCATGATGCCATCTTTGGGATCCTGAACAAAGTGAAGCCTTCCTACCAGTCCTGTACCGACTGTATGTACCCGGCAGCCAGCAGGGGCCCTGAGGCCTTTGGGGAGCAACGTGAGAACCCTAGCGCCCTGGCCATCTGCACCCAACCCACCTTCCTGCCCCACCTTACGTCCTCCCCCAGGGCCCATGTGGCCAGCAGGTCCCGTGCTCTGGAGAAGCTGGCCGCCGGCCCCACCGAGACTCCTGCTTCTCTGCCACCAGCCAGCCCTTTGGAGTCTTCCCAAGAAGCTCCCAAAACTCTGCCCAAGTCCCTCCTCCTGAAAAATGACGGTGACAAGCCCCTTCCTCCCAGCCTGGATGTGGTGAGAGAGGACCCTTCCGCCAGGAAAGAGCTGAAGCCAGCTAAGGACCTGCGGCTGCTGTTCAGCAGAGAAGCCGAGAAGCCGACCAGCAGCAGCTACCTGATGCAGCACCAGGCATCCATCATCCAGCTGCAGAAGGCGGGCTTGGTCCGCAAACACACCAAAGAGCTCGAGAGGCTGAGGAGCTCGCCCGGCGACATGGGGACCTGCAGGGACGGCAGGCTAGAGGCCAGCATCCCTGAGGAGAATCAGGAGCTGACTCTGGAGAGTGAGGAAAAATCAGAGGCGCTCCCTCCAGTATACGAAGGCCCCACCCTCAGGAGTCCCCCTCCCTGGCTGTACCGCCTGGACCATACCAGCCACTTCTCGAAAGACTTCCTCAAGACCATCTGCTATACACCCACCTCGTCTCCCATGAGCTCCAACCTGACCCGGAGCTCCAGCAGCGACAGCATCCATAGCGTGCACGGGAAGCCGGGCCTGGTCAAGCAGCGGGCGCAGGAGATCGAGACCCGCCTCCGCTTAGCCGGCCTCACCGTCTCCTCTCCACTCAAGCGCTCCCACTCCCTGGCCAAGCTGGGAAGCCTCAACTTCTCCACCGAAGACCTGTCCAGCGAGGCTGACACGTCCGCCATCACCGACCCCCAGAACCCCAGGTTCAGTAAGTCTTCCTTCTCACGTGAGCCCCAGCCGACTCCAGGAGACGCAGTCACAACCTCGAAGCTGCCAGGTCCACCTGCCCCTGGGGACCTGGTCAGCCCTTCTAGGGGGAGCAAAAGCTGACCCCGCTACCCCCAGCGTGCTTGGACTCACCCTTAGTCTCATTATGGGTTCTGGTCAGCCCCATATTTCTCGATTCTCCCTGAAAACAAGCTCACAGTCGTCCCACAGGCCACCTTCTCAGAGCAGAAAGAGGAGGTACAAGTGGCTGGCACGCAGCTCAAGTTACTACGGGAGAGGGCCGCCCCACGGCTTGGGAGAGCTGAGGCGCTGGCTGCTCCTCTCGTTCACGTCACCGGGTATCGTGTTTTAGGAAGGGTGTGTCCAGATGGGCACACACATGAGGTGAGGTTTGCAGCCAGGGTCACGGGCATGACGTGGCCCAGTGGCTGGAGTGGGGTGCAGCATCCTGTCATTCAGGCCCCAGAGGGAGATCCCTCGCATGGCCCCATACGTCCTACCTCTGCTCTTGCTGTGCTTTTTGTTCTGAAAATGCTGTAATGATCATGGCTCATTCCAGGGAATACTGCTGTGTCTGAAAGAGCTTTTCCAAAAAGAAGATTTTTTTGTTTTTCATTCCTTGTTTCTTTTTTTAATAGAGACCCTAAAGTATTAAGACTTTGTGCTTGACCATCCCAAGCACCACAAACGAAGAGAAAGGCGTTGAACACTGGGTCAAGCTGAGCGCCTGGCGCTGTTGCCCACCTGGCAGAGGGGCTGCCCTGGCGGTGGTGCCCCGGTGTGTGCTGGGTATCTGGCCAGCTCTGGGTCACACGGGGAAATATAAGCGACACTTTGTTGTTGTTACTGCTGATTTTGTTTTTCCCGGTTGCAATAGAGACACCCTGTATGTGTGTGAACAGAAATTACACTCCAGGGAGCTGGGAATTTTAGAGGCAAGTATCAGGTCTGTCTTCGAAGGAACCACTGAGTGGATTCGAACATCCAGCCTCTCATTTGGTAACCAAGTGCTTACCCACCTGCACCACCTGTAGGAGTTTAAATTGCCCCAGTGGGGGGGAGCTGGGCCCTTGAAGCGTGCTGCCACTGAACACATGGGTTGTTTAGGCTTGGAAACGCCCGTGTGCCCACTGGGGACAGTGGCTCTGTGATGCAGGTTGTCCCCCTCAAGCACTCTGGCACTCAGGTTCTTCAGCCCACCTCCTCAGCAGAGAGAAGCTCTGATGGCACAGTGAGTAATGTATCAAGCTGCTAGCCAGAAGGTGGGTAGTTCAAATCTACCAGCCGCTCTAAAGGAGAAAGATGAGCAGTGTCCTTCCATAAAGATGGGCCGCATAGGGAAACTGATAGAAGGTCACCATCAGATAGAGCTAGTGTGATAACTGTGGGTGGGGCTTGGGGGAAGAAAGGTGATGGCACGGAGAAACCCACCCCACAGGTGTTGACAGGCAGCACTTCCTACAGCGAAACTCCCCGTCCCTATTCAGGAGTCCTGGCAGGGGTGGGGTGACAGAGGCATCTGGGGTGTCCCTGCAGAATTGAAGGGCTTGACAGGTCTCCGACCACGTGTCAAGGGTCTCATCCAGTGTTGATGTGAAGGGGACAAACACAGTAGAAAGATTTCACTGCAGGGTTCAGCAAACTACCACCCCGGGAGCTAAGAGTGGAGTGAAGTTTTATCTATTTTTTTTTCAAGGAATAATTTTTTTTTTTAATAAAAATAACCTGGGACAGAGCACATTGGCCTATAAAGCCTCGAGTAATTACTGTCGTCATCAGATGCTGTGGAGTCAGTTCTGACTCCCAGCGAGCCCAGGCGCCCAGGCAGGACTGACTGCCCGTGAGGTTTGCCGCCTCTGTTGCAGCAGCCAGGACTAGATCCCGTGGAGCTGCCCTGTGCATCCAAACTGCCAGCCTTGTGGTTCACAGTGAAGTACTTAACTGTCCTGCCAACATCCTGCCACCAGGACTCCTTGAAACAAGCCCTGCCTGGCCCTTTCCAGAAAACCCCTCCCTGTGCCCTGGTTGTACTCGATGGCGCGGGACTGTTCACGGCCCTCCAGAAAGAAGCTGGGCGGTTTGGAAGGCCTTCCCCTGGCCCTGGGACCCCAGTCAAGCTAATGTTGCCACCCCTGACATGCAGCCTGAGTGACGGGAGCCTCACTCACCCACATGGCCTCCCACCCTGTCAGCAGATTAACTCACTGAACCTCAAGGGCCCCTGGGGAGCTCTGGGGATGTAATCCACGGGGAGTCCTGCTGATGACCCAAAGGCCAGGCCTCTCTGGAAGTTCAACTCCACCAGCAGCTCCGAGGGGAGAAATGGGCAGTCACTTCCTGTGCAGTTTACCACCTCAGAAACGGCTGTGGGGCTGAGTCGGTTGCAGCTTAACAGTGAGGGAGTAAAAGAAGCCACTTGAGGGGCTGAGTGACCCCAAAGTTGGCAGTGCTAGGCTGCTTCATCCTTCACCTTCTGGGTAGAATGTTTGCAAAGCAGCAGCAAAAAATCCCTCTCCAGGAATTTTTTTATTTGCTCCCCAGCCGTCATCTTTTTTTTTAATATGTTTTGAAAAAAAACACAACTTCATAGGAATTTCTTTTCCTGCCACTGCCCATTGAAACCACTTGAAGAAATCACCCGCCTGTTGCTGCAAGTCCCGTAAGTCTCCCTCCCCTCGTCCCTTAGCCAGTGGAGCACCTTCTCCGGGAACTAGCAAGTCTCCTACATTTTGCCAAGTTAAATTTCATGTGATGCATCAGTTCTTGAGTCCAAAGACGTTTTCAACAAAATAATTTGATGCTTTTCTACCATATCTGTAACTGAGAGCAATATATTTTGGAAAACCTTCATTTTGGAAGCCTTTTTTTTTTTTTCCTTTTTTTTTTTTCCTTTAACGATGCTGTTATTTTCTTAAGGCAGAGAACCAATGGGTTGCGAATATAAGTGGTTCTCTCACTTCTGGGCACTTTCCCTGAGTTTTTGGAAGAACAGCGTCTGAGCAGGCAAATGCCTAGAGCTGAGTGAATCATGAGCGGAAAACAGCCTGACAGAATTATCATGCTAACTTGCAGAAAAGGATAGGATTTGCTTTGTTTCACCCCCTCCCTGTCTCTAAGATGTAGATCGGTCACATGTAAACAGTGAAAGTTAGGAAGGTCTTCTCCCCAGCTCAGGCACCTAGGCAGAGGTTGACCCCACTGGTCTAGAAAGTATGCTTGCTCCCTAGATAGACCACGTTTTTGTATGTGACCTTCACTGGTGGCTGGAGAATCCCAGGATGATACAGGGGTTTGGAGGAATGGCAGAGATTCTGACTCTGAGAACCATTTCAAGGAGGTGCTGGAATCCTGCCTGACTCCTCTGTGGAATCAGAACAGAGAACATCCCAGGCCGCTCTGCTCAGTCCTCGGCTCTCTCCCCACACTGTCCCCGTGAATTCACAGGGCATGCCAAAGTCTGTTACCAAACCCTCACATCACTTCTGACATGGACCTTCCATCAGGTATCCACGGCAGGGAGATTGGAACCACTGACCTTTTGGTTAGCTGCCTCCTTATGATTTGTTGTTACATAGCATAGAGTCAGAACCGACTCTTAGCTGACCCTCGAATGGCGTTTTCCAGAGGCTGTTAATCACACAGAGATTAACCTGTCTTTCTCCTGCAGGAGAGCTGGTGGATTCAAACCACCTGCCTTTGGGCTGGCAGCACAACAACATGTGGCGAGAGGATTTGACAATGCTGACTTCTGTTTATCTTAGGGTTCCTTGAGAGTCTTCTAGAAATGTCCCTGGTAACATCTACTTCTGAACATCAGTCTTGGTGTTCTGTTCTCAGTCCCCATTGATCTCAGTGCTCCCTGGTGGGTGGTAACCCCTTCTTGCTAGTCTGATGCTTAGTACACATCAGGCTCCAGGCAGGTGGCTGCTCCGTGTGAGCCTGGTCACTGCATCCTGCCCTCCAGCTGAAGAGACCGTCTAGCCATTCTGTGGCACATCCCCCGCCCCCCCGAACGGCTCCCAAAAAACCCCACACCACCCAGACAGCCGCAGTGCACATGCACTCATTCTTCACACACACAGACCCAGTTCTTACTCATGCTGCATGCCAAACAGAGGTAGTGTGATCAGCCAGGCTTCACTTGGATTTTTTTATCAGCAGCCCCACAGCCTCATGCCTGTCCCTGCACAGCCATTTGTGAATCCACCAGTCATGTGCATCGCTTCTTCACGCCACGCTGAGCCTCCTGACCTGCAGAGTGACAAAATGATGTGCAGGGTGGCTCCTGTTGGAAGGGCAGGGCTGCATTGTTTGGGTTCTGTGGCAGATGCTGCACCCGGCTTCAATCACCATGTCTCAGCCTTGCTGCGTGAGAAGATAAAGCTCCTTGCTCCTTTCTGACACTGTAATTTTTTTTTCTCATTTTACAATTGAGTGCCTTAATAATAGTTTTACAAATACTGTGTATTTATGTGAAACTTTTTCGCCTTTCTCTGTTGTGATTGGCTGTTCGGTCTCCCAGTGGTAGCTGACTGTTAGGACCTAAGCGGACTCGCCTCCTCCCTCGAGTTCCTTCTATGCAGGGGTATCCACGTGGTGTCCACAAGTACCCAAGGAGTGTGCTGGAAGCAGCACTGGTAGTTCTGAGCCCGACCATGATTTTGTTTGCTGAAGGGTTGGAAAGGCCAGGCCCCTTCTTGGACCACAGCCCCAGCTCCTCACAATTGTGTTCTGGCTTCATAAAGATTTTGTAACTACCTGTTGTTGTCAGTTGCTGTCATGTCAATTTCAGCTCCTAACAACCCTCATGTGAAGGATGGAACTGCTCCCTAGGGTTTTTAAGGCTCTAATTGCCAGGCCTGTCTTCTGTGCCTCTGGGTGACTTTGAACCATTGGCCTTTCCATGGCTGAATGGTGAACAAGAGTTTGCATACCTAGAAACACACTACCACCCAGGCCACCCTGTCACCCCTCTCTGTTGACAGAAGGCATGGCCCCTCCCATTGGGTTACTTCTGGAACCCAGCAGGAGCTGCTCTTGGGTTTCTAGAAGTGTCTCGTAGGTTCCGGTGTGTTGCATTACTTAAATCAGTGATTTTTTTT